TTTTTCTTTCTCTCTCTTTTCCTTTGATGGCGGGTGGAGTAGTGGAGCTGAGCGACGGTTCACCCCAGAGACCTTCCTCCCTCCCTGCTTTGGGAAACAAAAGGGGCTTTTTCTCTGAGGAGCACAGTGACGTGGGAGGCGGCTGTGAATATGGGCCATGTGTCAGGGCTGCTGCTGCTCCGTTTGTCTGTTTCCCCTCCCCATCTCTGGTGCCTGTGCAAATCTACGAAAATGTATGCTGTCGTTAAATTTTTGATTCACTGCTCCGTGACGGCCGCACGCTCCTCCTGCAAGTTTGTTCACACTTGCAATGATGCTTGTCATTCTTTGAAAGCAACGATGTGCCACTGAGGGAAGAAAGACTCCTCATTAAAGACTAGCTGAGTAATTTGAAGATTGCTTGACATGCTATACTCAAGGCTCAAATTTCAAACGAAGCATATCTGCGGGTCGCCTGCAATGCCTTGTAAAGTGCTGACTTGTTGTGGCTGTTGCACGAGAAACCTTTGAGGCCATATTTACGTCCTCAGTGGTACACACAGCTCACTAAACCTTTCTCATGTACTGAGTTGAGAAGGAAAAGGGTAAACACGAGCCTTTTTAAACGTGCCGTGCGGCAGCCCAACACACTCAGGGCCCCTGGCCTTTAATCAGTAAAGTGACAGAAGTGAAGCGAGAAGATAGATACAGCAGGAGGGGTGCACCATGCCAGCGTTGTGCATGACACTTGCTCAAAACCCTCCACCGATACACACATAAGAGAAAGGTGGTCACTCTTGAGGGGCTTTTGTAGGTCTTAATGACACTTCGCTTCATACGGCATACTTCAGCTTTAAGACAACAGACGTCCCACACTTTTCACCGCATTCGTTCGCCTCTCTATTATGAAAGGGTTGCGCCGACAGTTTTCCGTCTACATGTACATAAATAAATCAGTTTATTTAATATTCAAATATGATGCGTGCTTCACAGAATTTTTTTACGCCATTTTTCCGGGTGGAAAAGTCAAACCATATGTGAAATGAGCCGAATATTGGCAGAAGTCTCGGGTTTGGTGCCAACCACAGCTTGGCAGCTCAAATGTGGTAGAGGTGAAAAGCAATTTAGCAGTACCACCCAGCCACAAAACATTTCCAGTTGAGCAAGTGCTTTTTTTTGTTTGTTTGTGTGTGTGTGTGTTTAATCAAAAATTGCGAGGAGCTTAATTTTGAAAAGTCAAACCAAAATGTCAGCTCAAACCTCCAGTTACTGACTGGTCATGTTGACTACACTTGCAGGATTCACTCTGAAGTACTTCTGGGAAAAACTGTATTCACTGTCGTGTCTTAAAAGCAGACGTCTGGTCTTACACAAAAGAATGAATCAGAAAAGTCATAAAATCTTATGTTTTTTGACAATACCCTCTGAGTTCAGTCCAGTGTCACTTCGCAAGACGACTGCAGGGTCTAAAATGTGAGTCGTTGTAGTTTTTACCAGTTTTGCCTATTAATGAGACTTGTTCCCCATCCACACCAAGGGTCTATGAATAGAACAGGTTATTTCAATTTGGTGTGAGGTATACTTTCTTTCTAAAGCTTTGTGGGGACTTGCTCTGAACTATACCTAGTTCACTAAGAAAAACAGAACGCAGAATAGTTTACATGGCTAAACATGTATTCACATGAGACAAATTCAATAATAGTCGCTTTATGTACAACTTCTACAATGTTGATGGTTATCATGTATCTAATAGCTACACAATCATTACAGTGGCACTTAGTAACAGACAGAACAATTAAATTGAGTTGCGACATTCCATATATCTGGAATTGATGTGAAATTCCAGATAAATTAGTAGAAATTCTCAAGTTATAGAAAAATGAGTTTGCAAGGTTAGAGTGACCTTGATTTCTAAAATAAAAAAAGTCAAAATCTTAGTTCCTCCTTGAGTCCAATTGATGGATGCTCTGCCTCCATGTCGCCCTACCCCTAGCATCCTCCTCTGTAACACCAACCCTCTGCTGTCACTACATCCATGAATCTTCTCTGCGGTCGTCCTTTTCTCCTCTTGCCTGGAAGCTGCATATTTAGCATCCTTTGCCCAATATATCTACCATCTTTTCTCTTCATGTGTTAAAACTCTCAGGGTTGCCTCTCTAACTTTGTCTCCAAAATGCTCACCCTGTGCTGTCCTTGTTATATATTCATATTTCTGATCCTGTCTATTCTGGTCACTCTCAACTCCCAGTTTTAAGATATTGTGTCTGTAAGCAATGGAACAGACCACACACACACACACACACACACAAAGCTTCTGGCTGTGACTGTAGATGGGCATAAAAAACTAAAGGACACCTTCACAGAAAAGAGCCCCAGCAGACACACGTTTCTAAAAATGAGCTCACCTGTAAACATTCAGACATTTTGCATACCAAAATAGTTTACACTGTGCTGACATACAACCATAATTATGGCATGCTTTGTGTCTGGGGAGGTAAAGCCCCAGCTGATGCTTTAGTTGCAAGTAGGCAGGGGTCACGTCCCTGGAGGGGCCAGTGCTGACTGCAGCCACATTAGCAGAGTACAGACTGCTCAGTGTCTGAACTGAAGCACTTCACAGGCTGCTTGTGAAGACTGTTAGGTAGAAAATCGGGGTGGGGTTGGGGACAGCACAGAGAGGGAGGAAATTTAGGGTTTGGCTCCAGACCTAACAACTTCAGACGTTTCAAAGCCCTCCTGCACCACCAAGAGCTGTTGGCACAGCTGCCCACAAGGGAAGGAGAGTGATGAAATGTGGGGAAACCGCGTGTCTTGGCGAGCAAAATCAAGAGGCCTCTTTTAGACCAGCTTGCTACACGCAGAAGGGAGGGGACAAATAACTGGCTGCTGTAAAAACAAGTGCACGTTTCTGTGGATAATGGTGCATTTAGAGCTGCAGGTGTGCGACGTTGTCTGGTCAGCTGACCCTCCATTTCCTGTCAAACAGGAAGAACCGAATGAGCAGAGATGAAAGTTCAAGGTAGCACACAGCTGGCAGTTGTTAAGGTGGGTAACTGCAGGTGCGTTACAAAAGCGGCTGTGTGCACGCTGTGTAAGAGGAGCCTAACCCAAATAGATGACATACAAATGTAGTGTATGTGAATATAGTCTGAGAGACACACTGCAGCAGGGAGCACTCTGCAAATATGCACAGTGTGTGTATAATGAGCTGGGGAAAATCACTTATGAAAGTATCAGATCATAAGTTAGATTTACATTAAAATAATTTCAACAAATAGAAAAAAGTATCACAACTTTGACTGGGATTCTGTTGCAAACGCAAACACTGTTGAAATTATACCCTCACAAGAATGTTAGTACTGAATGCCAGAAAGTGGCAAGATACTTTCAGCATACAGCCACATTCTGTTCTTGATCCTCAGACTCATGCTAAAGGGATTTGCATCCCTAAGGTGTCCATCAACGTAAGATGAAAATGAGATCATCAGCTTAATGAGCTGAGGTTGTAGGAGAGGAGGGCGGCAGGGGTGAGGATACTCTTGTGGTCGTAATCATATTCTGCTATGACCAGAAAAGATGATACTTCAAGACAGACATGTAATGAACTCTGCCTTGAATCAAGTGCACTAAACGGGAAATTACATTAACAGGTAAAATGCAGAAAAGGCTATAAAAGAGAATTCTTCTGCCACTTTGACAAGTTGTATTTGATATCCAGTCTCGACACATGAGTAGTCAAAACTCTAAATAGGTGGAAAACATAGGTTAGTATCATATAACTGATCACTTGTGAAACATGGTCACAATCTCTCCTATTCCAGGTATTCCTGAAACATTGCATTCACAGGATTGGCACAGATGGAGTGTCACTGTGACTCTGAACTTCGGACACTGACTTCTAATCAGTTTAACCTAATTTAGCCCCTTAGTGGAGATCTCTATGTACGTACAGGGGAAATTACAGATTCAATTCTCTGTGCATGTATGCGCATATATACAGTCAAGCCCATAATTATTCATACCCCTGGCAAATTTTGACTTAAAGTTACTTTTATTCAACTAGCAAGTTATTTTTTGACTGGAAATGACACAGGCGTCTCCCAAAAGATAATAAGATGATGTACAAGAGGCATCATTGTGGAAAAAATATTTCTCAGCTTTTATTTACATTTAAGCAAATGGAGGAAATAGGGGTTTTCCTATTTGTTAAGTCACTTAACACTACCTGTGAATCATTAAAGCATTTAAAAAGCACCTAGCTCAAAGGATAAACCAGTGTTGCATCTTCACATAACTGAAAAATTAGCAAAGAACAAATTGAAATTGTATCTTTAGTCACTTTGTTACTAGCAGCCTGTCACAAAAACAGATGAATCTAGAAAAAAAATGCTCCTAATAACTGTTTGACAGGCGTAGATAGTATTTTTGCACCAACAAGGTGTGGTGTGTCTTTTAACAGCTGAACAAGTGGAGGACAAAAGAAGAAGTGGGAGGCTTAAAAAACTTATCTGCTAAGTTTTTTTAGGTCACGACTAAAAAACAGGAAAAATAAATCTAGCAAAAAGGAAGGAAAGTTAGGAAGGAAAATAGGGGAAAGGCAGAGGTATGCCAAATTACACAAGAACTGGACTGAAAAATCGGTGGCAGAAAAAACATCTTTGCAAATCAATTATGGAGTAATGAATCCAAATTTGAAATATTCGTTTCAAATCGTTAGCAGTATGTGCGACAAGGTCAGGCGAGACGTACAACAGTTAGTGCCTATGGCCATCTGTGAAACACTGTGGAGACTCTGTCAGGGTTTGGATGCATTTCAGTCAGGGATGTTGGAGATCTTGTTAAAATTGATGGAATTATGAATGCAGATTTTGATCCACCATATAATACCATCTGGGTAGAATTTGATTGGAAACAGTTTCATTATTCAGCATCAAAATGATCCGAAAAACACTGCAAATAAATCCCAGCAGCCATTTCAAAACTTCATCGCAAAATATACCGAAATAAGGGGTGGCTCAAAATTTGCGTATTTTGTGCGTATTTTATTTCATTTCTAGCATAAATTGAAGTACAAGACAATACAGTTATTTTAACGTAATGAACACAATACAATACCAAAAACGCCCAAAGGTGACAAACTGATGTAGCAATCACCTTTACACGTTAATCTCCATAACAGCTTTGGTGAGACAAGGATTTGCCAGTCTATCAATTTGTCCCATGACAGTGAAATCCTACTCTACATGCCCAGACATGTCTCCCAAAATGAGGTCACCTCTATTATCTGAAAGCAATCTTGCTGTGCAGCGACAGGAAAGGAATCAATGTACTGCACCCCATTAGGAATACAGTATATCGCTGTTTACCAGTGCAGACAGCCACGATATGTAAACTGTTGCTAATTTGTAACTTATGTCAAACTGGCAGCTAAACTCAGGCTGGCCTAAGAGGTGAGGTTAACAATCATCCAGCTCTGGGTCGTGTGTGTGTTTGAGTTTAAGACCTAGTGATGGTGAACCTGCCAAAAGGGGTGTATGTGTGTGTTGTAAACTGTGGCCTAGATCCCTCAGATACTTCACCTCCCTTAACTGGAAAAATAACCTAGTTAAAGCCAAGTGAATTCATTCGAGAGTATTCAAATGCATGTTTAATAGCTCAATACGAGTCCAGCAGGCAGTAACATAATGTACAAAACACAGGGTCAAACAATGTGCAGGCTGTTAAAAAACTGGGTACCAGCTGCAAGTGCTTTTCTGTGCACATTAACATTTATTTCTGAATTGCAAATAGGAGTGGTACAACCAGTCAAGCTGCAGTTTCATACTACTGCATAACATTTCATTACCTCTGAATGCCCAGACATACTCAAGCTTGTGTCTGCTAATGGTGAAATAAACCTAAGAGACCTCAATGTATCACTTGAAAATGAGCTTTTTTTTTCTTGTCGAATTTATTTGGTACAGTGGAACCTTGGGGGCAACGATTGAGAATCATTTGTTTTACGCTCCATTTCCAAAGATCTCAACGATCCAACTGTGACACTGAAGCCCAATAACCAATCTTTTTTTCGTTTTTTTTTCGGTCATGGTCGTTTTATTAACCCTCGGTGTGGATACCGTGGTGTAATGACTGGCTTTTGACAGAGAAGCTATGACAGGACCGTCTCCAGTAAAAGGCCGCTTAAAGTCAAGTAAATAAAGATAAGCAGTTGAAGATCTGTGGTTCTTCAATCTGATGGAGTGTCGGTTTCATTTTTGTTTACACAGAGAGAAACATGAGCCCAAGCATCAGCATAATTTATCGCATTCAGCAGTGGTTGCGTTTATCATCTCTCAGACCAGCTCACTTCCCATTTCCAGCGATTTATTATTGTAAAACAAAAGCCTCTCCGATATGAATGCCAGTTTAAACCTGAGCCAAGGCTGAATTTTCCCCAAGTGCTTTAAGACCTTGAGCTTTTCTCTGACAATGACTCAGACAAATTTCCAAACTGATGGAGATTCCACACATTTTCACACAGAGTCGAAAATTATCTTTATTTATAATAATCAAAGAAAAAAATCAAATATTTTCTTCAGCTCTGTATGGGTCGTGCACGTTTTCTGTTTTCATCACATGACGCACAACAATTACTCTGCGTTAAAGTGCAGCAAATGTTTAGTGCAAACTGTGAGTACAGTAGCTCTTCGGAGAATTTGACTGTGGGAACTTGAACACTGCATTTCTCTCGCCTTTTAACTGTCAGTCAGCAGCTGGTTACGGCACACTCGTGTCATCTTGAGGTATCTTATCTATGCCAATCATGTACTGACAAATACACAGTACAGCTCAAGCATGCTCAACGCTATCTCTTGCAGATGGGATAATTGTTCTGCAAACTTCATTCCAGTTTGTGTCACACTTCGCAGAGCAACAGATGGGAGTCTTTCCCATGTGTGACAAAACAGTTGGCTGTTAAGAGTTTATAGAGGCCATGGGCTAATTAATTTAACTTCCATAACAAAGAAAACTTTCAGAAGCTACTTTTTAATGGTACTGCTGATCAGCTAGAGTTCAGTGTCCACTGCCTGGTGTTCAGTGCCCCCTCTGACCGAGGATCATGTCCACCGCCTGGGCCAGGTTGTCTACAGTGCCGTCAGCCGTCACCGTCGGGTGCCTCTCATCAATGGGCCTGAGGGAGGAGAAGCAAATGCACAGGTTTGAGGACCTGTATCGCAGGAAGAAGGAAATCTTGAGCACAAAAGGGATGGTAAACAAGGACTAGCGGTTTGACGCAGTCGAGTGGATTAACAACGCTGAATGCATTATGTGGGGGGATAAAAACAAAACAAAAAACCCCAACAAAACACAACTGAAACGAAAAAGAAAGTTTGTTATCAAAACTGTCATCCTGTGTGGTAACTCTGGTTCTGTTAAGAGCTTGTTTAACAGCATTGTATTTTTAGTTCTTTTGGCTGCTCCCCTTACAGTGTATCATCTGCCTCAATCTCACCCTTTCCAAAGCATACCTACCCTCTGAATGTCTTTGACTACATCCAGAGTACATCCACAGTCATCATCCTTTGCCCAACATATCAGCTGATTTGAAGGTATTTCAGGGTGGCTCCATAACCACACCTTTCTATCATATCTGCAGACTACTACACCACAATTATAGTGCTGTTTTGTATCAAGGTTAGGATCAAATCGTAATATACTGTTAATCTGTGAGGCTGTAACAAAACACATTACTTCCACACATGGTAACAGACCGATTTCTCCAAACTTGCTGTTCAGCTGTGCTAATCTCATGGCTCTGTGGCCCCTGGACTACATTGACCTCAAATTTTTGTTAAGACATTTAGAGACACCAGTGCAAGAGACACTTGCAGTACTCCCCTGACATTCTCATCAGCTTAATCGTTACTCTGCATTTAGGACAAATTAGCAAATGAACTAATGCTAAGGTGCTGAAAATGGTTTACCTGCCTCAGACTTGTGTTGTCTTGTTGCAGTCTTGTTCTACATTTGTAATTGGATGGATTGCACAGAAAGGGTTATTGTATTTACAGCACGCACACAGAAATGATGTTTACATTTTTTCCCATATAAAGTACCCTACATCAAAAGGTCACAGGCCAATGCCCAAAATTACCCTACCCATAATCCTGTTTCCACACGATTTCCTAAATTGTGGGAAAGCTGTGGACTTGGTCAAGACGGGCAAGGCTGTAGCCTCCACACTGGCTGCTGCCATTGTTTGGATCAAGGCCCAGTGATGGATGCAGATTTGGTTGTTTAATCAGCTGGTAGTGGAAATGTAATCCATTTGGTGTGGCACTAGGCCCAAGCTCACACGGAGGAGCTCCTTTCCTCCCAATTCCATCAAAAGACAGAGACGCCCCTTCATTCATCAGAACTGCCCTGGAGTCCTGCTCATTTATGGAGTGGTGCCTATAGACCCCCCCCTCCACCGGCCGCCTTGACCGGGCTCTGTGTGCTGCCTCTGTTCCTCAGTCACGGCTTGGAACTCCAGATGGGGACTCTTTGTCAGGCCCTGGGTGTGAGGCACACACCACCATTAATCCTGACTTCTGAGAGCTTACAGAGCCCCATGGCAAATATTTGTGAGCCGCCCAAGTGTAGTGACAGAAAGAAGAGGCCTGTGGTGGTGGAAATGGGGGAAGAGGTGCTGAATGCCGAAGCCACGCTGAATATGGCAAAGCAGTGCCATGTGTTTACGCACGTCTGTCAGCTGCCAGTGCTTGGGTTATGTGAGCTGGTCCACTAATGGTTGGGGTTTTATGTCTCCTGTGCTGGATTACTCCCGCACCCTTTTCTGCCCGAGGACTGATTGAGTTCACACACGCATGCACGCACAGGCATGAACGCACAAGCAACATAGGTCACATGGCTCTTATGTTTCAAGAAGTGAAGCCAAAAGTATCAAACTCACTGTCTTTTCAACCCGATGCCTCTTTAAATCTCTCCCCGACTCCATCTTTTAGATAGGCATACATAGATGCATGCGTGTGTGTGTGTGTGTATTCATTTTGCAGCCTTCCTCCCATTCCCATGAATAATGAAGAAGTAACCAGGTCAATGTGACCATGCAAAATTCAGCACAATACAGCTAGTGTTACCGGTGAGGTAATCTGCGGCTTGCTGTCCTTCAGGTCAATGCAATATCAATACACGTGAATAGATAGGTTTGGTCCCTGAGCCTGACTGACATTGCAGAGCCATCACGTAGGGATGAGGTCAGCTATGAGGCAGGAGGTGGGGAGCAGCCAAGGGTTTAGTACAACACAGCTGCCCCTACGCTGAAAGAGCAAACTGCCTCATCAGACCGTTAGTAAATGATCACACGATTTGTGCTGCAAGTAGTGCAAGAAAAAAAGAAGAAGATAAAAAATCCAAAAGGAGCAGTGAGCTTGGCTAGTGGTGAACAAGCACAGCAGCCGATTTGACAAAAACGATTTTGACAGCTGATTAACATTCAAGCAAATCATCAATCAAGATGTCAAACACTTGCAGGCTCCAAATCTTTTTTTGACAGCTGAAAATTTGAATATCTTTGGTTTTAGACAGCTAAAGACCTGACATTGGGCTCTAGGAAGATTAAATGCTGATCAAAAAGGAAAAGTGCAGCTTTAAAGTTGGGTTCTCTAATGCTGTCGATCCTTTAAAGCTATTCTTGCAGGTTGTCACAGAACTTGCTTCCAAAATAACAAATCAGTTGTGAGTGATTAGAGTGTGATATGATATATACAGTATAAAACATGACACTTAGCACTATTAAAAACACTTTATTTGCAGGCACTGGTTGTTCCTTTGTGAAAAGAAAGTAGATAAGAATGACTCATGTAGTGAGCGCATTTGTTTGTGAAAGTGCTGTGAGTCAGAGACACACAGAGACGAGGTAAGATATAGAAATAAAGAAAAGGACTCTTGTTTAACCTGAGGAGAAGAGGGCGGCTTCACCTTTGTTTCGTTTCGTTTAGATGCATTCAGCTGACTCCTGAGGTAGCTGACCGCAGGGTGAGAGAGCATGAAAACTCTCTCGCTGGTTAATGCTTAACTCGCCTCGTGCACAGAGGGAAGCAAAACCGTCACATATACCCGATTTCGATTTATACTTGTCTCTTAACCTCTGCACCTCTGCTGAGCAGGCATTTTGCTTGACACAATACTGACGAAAAAACAAAACAAAAAAAAAATCAGGTTAGCAGTGCGCAACTCTCGGAGATATTTTGGTGTGAAGGCGGTTACATACTGAGCAACTCAAGCTAGAAATATCTGGGTTTCCTGTGATTTGACTGTAGGACAAAAGGCAACTTTGAAGCTTTGATCTAACTTTTAATGGCTGCTATTAATGGTGTAGTCAAAGAACCATAAGCTAGTATAAAACCACCCAAACTGCCTACATGAAATATGGCTCCTATTAGACAGAAATTAGCATTTGTTAGCAATGAAAGAGGCTGGCTAATCAGTGTAGGCTTTAAAAGCAGTACCGTTTAACTTTGGGAGGTTCTTCTGATCAGTGTGTTTGCGCACTCTTAAGTAGGAACATGGGTGTGACAAATTCAGCCAAATATTTCAATATTTCAGCCACGTTGCATACTTTATGACTTGGCTTTCTGAGTCATATTGAGAATTTTCCAGCTGGAAATCTGTCACAAAAAGTCACAACTCTAAAGAGGGCTGAAGTTACCAAAAAAAGTGTACTGAAAGTCATAAAGTCATTTAAAAACAAACCCACAGCAAGAAACAGGAATAACCAATAAAAGCTTACCAATAGAGACATCACATAGCAAATAAGTCAATGAAATGACATAGTTATCACACTGTTATCACACTGCTCCTCTAATAAATAGGAGCTACAGGGTATCATTGTAGGCTTTGTGTAAAGTGAGTTGCCACCTAGCAACACAGGGAAGATAACACTGAAAGTAAAGAGTCACTCTGCAAGTGAAAGGTGGAAAAACAGTCAACCCAGGTCAGTGTGTTGTTTTCATGCCAGACTAGTGAAGGCAGCAGGAGCTGAAACGCAGCCTTTTTTCCACTATAAAGACGATGATATTAAGCATAACCTGAGGGAGATCACGTCTTGATGACATTCTTAGCCTTTATGTTGAGCCAAGCCGTGTGGGTGACATAAGATGCAGGCACATGACAAAGCTCTCTACCTTCACCCCAGGGACAGGGAGAAAAGGTGTGCAGCTGCTCGTGTTTCCTGCTGCACGGTGCCGCTTTAGCAGCGTCGGCCTGGAGGGTGAAAATGTGATCCGTTTGACTGACTCTGTTGTAAATAAAACGCCACAAGCCCGAGTGAAGATGTAGCGGGGATTGTCGACACCAGCGATGCTACAGCCTGGTTTTATTACAATCCGCTCCGAGCTTCGCTTTTCCTATCTTTCTGTTCTCTTTTACCTGATAGGTACAAAGCACAGATAACATCCTTGAAATAATACAGCTGCGCCTTCTTAGGAAAAACAGCCCAACTGAACAGAGGAAACCACCATGTTACGTGCATGTTATGGCAACAGAAGTGACAGATGCTGACTTGAAGCCTTCACATCCTCTGCCGAGTTTGTGGCAGTGCAGCGACCGTTATCACTTCACTTTACAAAAGGCCGCATAATGTTGAATCACGATCAGCAAACAGCTGCGGCATGGTTTTCACACTTTACGCAGATTAACGGTTCTTTCCAATCGAGCTGGACACAAAAGGGGATTCCCTGGTTGCGGCGCAAAGAGCGACTTGATTATTTTTTTCCATCCTGTGGCTGTACGAAAACCTCCTGTGAGTACGAGTGATGACTGTGAGCGTGTGTGAGAGAGAATCCTGACCTGCTGAAAACCACCTACTGGAAACTTTCTGCCTTTCACAATAACAAAAACATCCAATGCTACGTGAACAGGATGCAAACCACAAATTTTTTTATGTCCTCAACGGCTACTTAGACATAAACTTTTAGACATTATAGATTAGACTGACTCTTTATATTTGGTGTGACGTTCATCGCTTTGAAATCTATTTAATGAATTACAAAAAGGTTTTGCTGCTATGGTTTAGGTGCTAATTTGTGGAGTCATCTTAGGTGATCCGGTGGGAGCAAAGGCAAAAAAAAAAAAATATATATATATATAAATTTTAGTTTATAAGAAGCGATTACCTTCTTCTACATT